CCCATGAAATCTTTTTCTTCCCTTAAATTTGCCCTTTAAGGGGTGAGAGAATCCTCATGAAAATTTTTTCTAATTCTATCCTTAATTTCCAAGGAGTGAAGATTCTCTCATGACCCTGTTTTTAATTTTCCGGAAAGTTTCACTTACCCTGAGCGAATTCCCTTTCGGTTCCTGGTGTCTGCTTGAAAAAGAGAAAGAGAAACCACCACCTTATCCAAAGAAAAACCATCACCTTGTCCCTGTTTGGGCACCAGAATGTTGCAGACCGAGGGTCCCAAAGAATAGAATAAATTTATAATAAAGAGACAAACAGCCAGGAATGATATAGAGCAGAGAGCGTGAAAAACAGGGGGCCAACAGTTCCCATGACTGAAGGCCGGGTGTCATGCATCTTATTAACATAGTTCCCTCTGCCTGTGCTATTCCTAGGAGATGGAGCCAATGATGTCAGCATGCTCCAGGTGGCAGATGTGGGTGTGGGCATATCCGGCCAGGAAGGCATGCAGGTAAATATTAGTTGGGTTGTGCAGTTTGTCTCTTGCCTCTTCAGGCTGCCTCCTCTAAAAATACCAAAGAAAGATACCCTTGGCCTGACTTTGAGCTCTCTCTGATTAATCTAAACGGTTGGCCTGATCATAACTAAAATCTTGTGCTAAGTTGATAGTAGATAATAAAGTGGAATGCTGTTCTTCATGGTTACAGCAATAAGAAAGTCTGTCTCTAATTACAAGTATATTTTTATAAAACAGCCCAGAGAGAGGTCAAGTAGGATAATGCTTCTCTCCTACTATTCCAATCTGTCCTTAGGCAGCATTTTTCTTCAATGACTACTACCCATACCATTTGATAAACTGACTTCTCTATAGCACAGTTGATACCTGTTACCACTATGAAAGTAAGAGAGTCTAGCTTTACATTTTTCTTTTGCCATGTCATGTGATCTAATCATTGAACAAATAAGTTAAATAAAAAAATTATTTTGGATGTTGTTGTTGTTGTTATGTGCTGTTGAGTTACATGTGGCTCATAATGACCCTGTGTACAACAGCCCTAAACCCTGCTCTATCCGGTGCCAATCCCATTGTCTCTGACACACCAACCCCTATTACCCCCATCACTGAATCAATTCACCTCATAGAGGGTCTTCCTCTCCTGCACTGTCCCTCCACCCTCCCCAGCATGATGTCCCTCTCCAAGGACTAGTTCATCCTTGCAACATGTCCAAAGTATGTCAGAGGAAGCTTCAGAATCTTTGCCTCCAAGAGGCAGCCCGGTTTAACCCTTTCCAGGATGAACCTGTTTATTGTCTAAGCAGTCCATTCAATACTCTTCTCCAGCACTACAGCTCAAAGACATCAATTCTCCTATCCTCCCAAGTCGTTTTCCAACTCTCTGATGCTTAGCAAGTCATTGCAAAAACCATGGTGCGCCTTGGTCTCCAGAGTGACACCATTGCTCTTCAGCACTTTGGAGCGGTCCCTAACAGCAGACTTTCCCTTCACAATATGTCTTTTCATTTTCTTGCTGCGGTGACAAGAGTATTGACTGTGGAGCCAAGCAAACTAAAGCTGTAAACAATCTCAATCTCTTCACCACTTCACCATCCATCCTGATGCTGCCAATTGGCCCAGTGGTGAGAATCTTTGTCTTCTTGATATTGAGCCTCAATCCATATTGAAGGCTGCAGTCCTTGACCCTCTGAAACAAGTGCTTCAAGTCCTCAGTTTCAGCAAGCAGGGTTGTGTCATTTGCATAATACAGATTGTTGATGAATCTTCGACAATCTTGATGTCACACTTCTTCTCATAAAGCCTCACCTCCCAGATAATCTGTTCTGCATAGAGGTTGAAAAGGTATGGAGAAAGGACACATCCCTGGCATTTTGGATTTTGTTGTTGTGTCACATGTGACTCTAGTGACCCTGTGTACAACAGCCCTAAATCCTGCTCTATCGTGTGCCAATCTCACTGTCTCTGACACACCAACACCCATTATACCCGTCACTGAATCAATCTTCCTCTACTGCATTGTCCCAATTTTGAATCATGCAGTGTTTCCTTGCCCTGTTCTGACGACTGCCTCCTAGTCCATAGCACTATCTGGAATTCCCATTCTTCTCAGAGTCAGTCTCAAGTTGTTATGATCCACACAGTCAAACACCTTTGCATAATCAGTGAAACATTTCTCTGGTACTCCCTGCTTTCAGCCAAGACCCATTAGCTGCAATATCCCTAGTACCACAACTGCTTCTAAAGTCAGCCTGGACTTCTGGCAGTTCTCTGTTGATTTGCTGATACAGTCATTTTTGAATAATCTTCAGCAGACTCTTGCTTGCATGTGATATCAATGGTATTGTTCTATAATTTCCAGTCTGTTGGGTCACCTTTCTTTGGAATGGGAACAAATATAGATCTCTTCCAGTCAGTTGACCAACTGGTTGACCAGATTTCTCGACACAATTTACTGAGCACATCTATGGCAGCATCTGCTAGATTAAATACATCAATTGGTGTACTATCAATTCCTGGGGCCTTATTTTTTGCCAATTTCTACAAAGCAGCTTCAACTTCTTCCTTCATTACCAAAACCTCTTCCTCATATTTTGTTTCATGAAATTCTTCTGTGTCTGCCATTTCCTTTCAGTACAGTGACTCTGTACTCTTTCCATCTTCTTTGAATACTTCCTGGATCACTTAATATTCTGCCCAAAGCATCCTTAAGTATAGCAAATCGAGGTTTGAATTTGTTCTTCAGTTCCTTGAGCTTAAGAAATGCTGAGTGAGTGTGGCCCTTCTGATTTTCTGTGTCCAGCTCCTTTCACATTTCATTGTAATATTTTCCTTTGTCTTCCTGCGCTGCCTTTTGAAATATTCTGATCAGCTCTTCAATATCTTTAGTTCTTTCCAGTGCTTTGACTCTTCAGTGCTCTAGAAGTAATATTAAAACCTTTTCTAACACTTTATTAACTGCAAATCACAAAATTTTGGAAGTTGGTAAAAACTTTGGGTAACAATTCTCCAACTATCTTCTTTTTAAAATTAGTATGTTGACTACCATGTATTCATTGAGTAATAGATTCCTTCTTCATTCAGTAATTATTTATTGAGTATGCAATCTATTCCAAGCTTGATCAAGACCTATTCATTTTCTCAGTTTATATTAAATTTTATAGCTAGATAAGCTGTTTCAAACTAGAAGCCCTATCATTCAGCTTCCGCCCCATAGTTACCACTTCTCTTACTCTCTCCTGCCCTCTGACTTGAATCACTGTGTGGTTATTTGTGCTTTTTCCTCATGACACTAAAAGTGAAGTCTGTGTCTGATTCCTATTTGTCTCAAGAGAGTGCTTAGTGCAGTATATGCACATAGCCAAAGGTCGCAGAGCATTAACAGAATGAATGAGCAAAATAATTGTTTTAAAGGCAGCTTGATCTCTTCATATCATCTTTCCTCTTAGCTCCCTCTCCTTGTATGGAAACTCTGACTAAGGAAGAGCTTGTCAGGTGGATCTGTAGAAAGGTCAGCAGATCCTGACATCTCATACACAAGACTTTGATGTTGAGAATATGGTTGAGTATGGTGCCTGCGACTTTGGGTCATTGTCCACTTCCTTGGAGAGGGAGACCAGAAGCTATGGAGGTTTATAATCTGTGACTTGAAAAGAGGGTAAAAATAGGACTTTTCCCATAGGTCAGTTTTGAATGATGTAACCTCTGGGTTGGATGGCTGGCTGTTTCTGAAAGTGTTTAAAGTAACACTTCTTTGATTTTTTAAAACATGTATTGGACATGTATTATATATGGTATTGATAAGATTGATACCTCTCCTGCTGTAAGCGCTCAGCTTATTAAGATTACAGTACCTGTCACTTGCATTTTACTCAGTACAACAAGGAAAAGGACACTGTAGTAAGACCTTGGGGAGATGGTCTGTTATGGTATGCTGTGGCAAGAGGGACACCTGGAATACAGGCTGAGTCACTGAGGATGATTAGGAGACTCCAGCACGGTCAGGGTAGGAATGTGGCCCCAGGCAGAGAGCTAAAAGGGCAAGAAAATCCAAAAGTCCCTCAAAACATAGTCTTTGTGGTCATCTGGTTCACCATGGAGCCAAGTGTTGGTGGGCTCTAAAGTTGTAGAGTAACTATATCTACTATCCTGGCTTTCCTGGAACTCCCAGACAAGATCAGAAACACGTGGCAACTACCTTAGCAAAGGAAAGATTACTTAGGGCTTGGAGGAACTTCCAAGCAAGCCCATTAAAAAGATAACTAGATTTGTTGTTGTTGTTATTATGTGCCGTCGAGTCGTTTGCAACACCCTGCTCTATCCTGTGCCAATCTCATTGCCTCTGACACACCCATCCCGATTACCCCAGTCACTGAATCAATCCACCTCATAGAGGGTCTTCCCCTCCT